GCCATAAAACAAAGGGCTGGGAGGGAGTTGAGGTGATGGACATTGAAGAGGAGGTAGAAGAAGGTGTACTACTGGTTTCTAAGTCAGTCAAAAATGACAGTTGTCTCAGTTTAAGATCTATGAGTGCCAGACACAGAGGCACCAGCCTTGTAAGCACGTTTGTTGGAAATGTCTGTGAATCATTGGGACTTGATTTACATAAATGACAGGAAATTTTCAGATTAAAATATGGATTCTGGGCCCTACATGTATTGTAAGTTAATCCTTATTTTGGTGGTAAGAAGGGAGAACTTTTTGAAAATTATTGTCACAAGGTTTCTGCCTTATCGTGTGGGCGAGGAGAAGTAGCTTAGTCCCCTTTCAATGCCGTTATTCCTTCCTCCAAGAGGACACAGCATTGGCCCATTTGCCTCTTGAAGATGTGAACTGGGCTCCAAATGATGGTGCTTTGACCTTGGACAGTCTCCCAGACTGTGAGAAATGAATGAAATGGTTTATGAATGTCCCAATCTAAGGTATTTTGTAGGAGAACAAGAAAGCTGGTGTAACTATGAAAGAAAAAATTGGAGGAAGGACAATTGGATGGAAGAATCTGAGGCCATCGCCCATGAGTAAGAAATTCTCAACCAAGAATTATAATTATAGCAAGACTGAAGTTTTCTTGTCAACAGCTTACCATACGGAAACAGCTTACCCCAGTCAAGTGCTCCTATTCACTGACTCTTTGTCCTGGGATCAACTGAGATGAGCAAGACCTGGTGCAGACTATGCTTTAGAGTTTGGAAAGTATAGTAGCTCTTGGTTGTCCACTACCTGCATGGTAGGAAGGAAAAGAAATAGTATCAGAAGGTTCTAGTGTGAAAAATCTTTTTTTTTTGAAAAAGTAATCCATCTTCTGCAGTGAAAGTAAATTGGCTATTCTGAGCTTTTATTTCCTCCTATATTCAAAGTGAGTCATGTTAATTCATAAAACTGTTACAAATGGTTTAGTGAATAACTTGTAAGTGGTGAGAGTAAACTAGTGAAATTTTGTGCTACACATCAGTCATCCCTGTACTTGGAAAGCTGAAACAGGAGGATTGCAAGGTTAAGGGCAAGTCAGTCTGTACAGTAAGACTATTTTTAAAAAAGAAAGAAGAACCTAACTACCTGGTTCATATGATGGCCATGTGCTTATAGAATCAATGAACATTGTTTTTCATTGACCACACTATTTAAAATTTGTCCTTTTTTCTTTTATAACTTATTCCTTTTTCTTCTCAACATGATGTGTAAGCTACATTTTCTTAAGGAAAAATCATATCTGATCTGTTTTGTGACCCCTTCTTATTACCTATATTGCTATAGGATTCTTGATAACTTAAATTAATTAAGAATTTTTCATTTTCATGTAAATTGCTTTCTTCAAGTGGTCTACAAATAACAAGGAGGCTATTTCGTCCCAAATGTTAGGTGTGTCTTAGCATGTGGCTTGTAACTGTAGCTATTTGATTTTTATTTTTATTTGGTATATATGTAGTATCTTTACTTCCTTTGTGCTAGAACATATTTTTCCCTTTGGATAGGAACAGCCCTGATACTTGTAACTTCTGTAATGTGCCTGGATTTGGCATAGTCCCATTGCTGTCTCCTGGGACAAACGCAGATTTGAAGTACTTGCTACATGAGTAATATATTCCCCTACCCAAGTTGTTTCTGCTCAGGCGTGCAACCCCAAACAAGATCACAGGATCTCTTTTTAAATAATCAAGGAGCAATGATCATTTCAATGGAGTTATTGACTTCTATTAATAAATTAATGAGAAAAGTATTATCCACTTAAAAAAAAAAACTTAGAGCTTGTAAGTAACCTAACTGGAAGACAAATAGGCTAAAGGAAGGAAGACAGAATGAGAGACTTGAACCTAGTGAAATAACTTGAACTTTAGCTCCATTGGTGCCCAATCTGTCAGCTGAGAAATGGTCTAAAAGTTTTACCTTTCTCCTGAAGCTAATTTGTTTCTGTGTGTGTGACACAGACACCTAATCAAAAGAAGACTAATGCAGCTATATAAAAAATTATGAAGACTATAGCTATTGATGTTTTTCCAATTTATTGATAATAATAGTGGGTTTAAGAAATAGATTATGTTATAATAATGGAGAGAACAGAAGAAAACAGAAGCACATTCTTTGTGGCTTCTTAAAAAGACTTTTAAAAATATACTTTTATTGAATTTTTATGTATTTCATACAAACATCTTAATCATCTTTATACCCCCTCCCCATCCACACACTCTTATTCCCCCCCACACACCAGAATTCATGGGTTCTGTCATTTTTTAAAATATTTGATTTATTTTTTTACTTTATATATATGAGCCTATTGCCTGCATATATGTAAGTGCACCCATGTCAGGCAATGCCTACAGAGGTCAGAAGAGAGTGTTGGATTCCCCTGGAAGTGGAGTTATGCACAGTTGTTAGCTGCCATGAGGATGCTGACAATAAAACCCTTGTCCTCCGCAAGAGCAGTCAGTGCTCTTAATAACTGAGCCACCTCTTCAGTCCACCTTCTGTCATTTTTATTAAGGTCTATCTCATCAAGTTAGTGTACCCAGTCGTCCCTCAGTGCTAGTTCATCTGCTGGTGTCTAGTCAGCCTATCTGGAGTCATTCCCTTAAAGAACATCAGCTCTCCCTCATCCAGCAGTAATCAGCTGCCAGTAGTTCCTTAGTTAACGCTGGAGTTTACTGCACATTTTCTCAGTTCTATGCTGGGTTTTTGTCGGCTTGAGTTTGCATGGCTCTTGTGTATAGTGTCACCATTGCTGTAGGTTCATATTGGCAAGGTTCCAGGAGCCTGTAAGACTCTGTTTCTATATGTTCATGCAGCACCTCCCCTCCTTCTTAAAATTTTCCCACCACTCTTCCTCAATGATCCCTGACCCTTGGGTAAATGGAGTTTAATATAGGAGTCTTGTCCAAGGGCCCACACTCTGAAGACTATTAGTTTCTACACTTTGGCTATATGTGTCCTTTTGTGTTCATTGTCCTCTGTTGCATGAATGAGCTTTATTGATGAGAGTTAAGATATGCATTAATATTCTCTCTGCCTCTTGTTCCACTATGTTCTGTGAGCCTTAGGTATAGAGGTTCCATTATGAATGTGTAGCATAGGGTTGGGCATCTCACAGACACTTAACCTCTGTGTGTGACCAGTTGTGGAACTCTGTAATAACCTCTATCTGTTGCCAAAAAACAAAACAAAACAAAAGCTTCTTTGATGAATGGTTACTGGTATACTTGTCTGTAAATATAAGGATTCATATTTAGCACATAGTAAGAAATTACAATTGTCTAGGAATGTGACAGCATTAGGGTTTTCTCTAAGATCTATGATCTGTCGAGCCATGTGTATTTGGCTATATTTACAGTACCACACATGAGTTACCTCCCATTGAGCAGGATTTAAGTTCATTTAGGTAGCTGTCAATTACCCCCAAAATAAAAGTCTGCTAGTGCTCCAAAGAATGTAGTTTACTGTGCCTGCTGTTGTTGTGGATTTTAGGCTTTAAAGCTGGGGTTGCATCATTGATTAACTGATATTCTCCCTTATCAGCTTGCATAATATCCTCCAAAACTACGAGAGCTAGTCTTCAGGGAAGTGGCTTCGAGGGCATTTCCAGCTGCATTGTCCTGTGTCCAAAGTATGTCCTATCTCCATCAATAGGGTCTTCTTGCCTTCACGTTCTGGGAGGCAATCAAGGACATGGCAATAGCCTGCATAATTTTGGGAGTCTTTGGACTACCCTGGCCAACAACTCAAAAGGAGGTTTCTCCTCTCTGGCACTTTCTTTTGTTATGTATAACTTTCAGCTATATACATGAACACGTAAAGATATTATATGTGTAATTTTCAGTAGGCTTTTGAACTAATACATTTCCCTCTAGTTTTTCACACCAGCTAAACATTATATATCTCTCCTCTCTCTCTGTCTCACCCTCCTTTCTCCCTTCCCACTTTAAGTACCCCCCATTTCCCCATTTCACCCTTGATAATACCTGTCTCCTTTGATCCCCCTATCCTATGCTCCTTCTTTCCCTTTATCCCATGGTTCCTTGTATAACCCTCCTTCTTCCCCTCCCATTTAAATATTCCCATTTTACCCATTTTGCTTTTGTTAACACCTGTCACCTACTGTTCCTACCTCAGGCTCCTTTGTAACATATAATGTTCATTATTTTGCTGTTTAAATAAGCACGTGTTACATATTTAAATAAAACTTCAAGGACCACTTCTGTATTCCAATCTGTAAAAATATTTTCATTATGTTTATTATAAAAATATAAATGTTCCCACTAGAAATCATTTTACATTAGTAAGAGACCATCTACATTGTGCAACATAAACTAAATGAACAATGTTTGGGAAATGGAAGTTTAAAGTAAACACATATTGCCAATTATATCATATTTAAACATGGCTTGATAGATACTTAGTACAGCATAGAATGAATGTGTTACCAGAAATAAATAATATGTATAAATCAATTTTAAGATACAATCAGATAATATGGTACATAACTTTGTGAAGAAGTTGTAGCCTTGCGTTTATGGAAAGACAATGTAGTTCCTGAACAAAGAGATGGCCATAAGCATCTAGTACCTCTACTCCCCAGTCCAGAATCGTACACAGTTATGTTTACATATGTACAGGGTAGGGATTATGTAAAACACATTCATAAGTGATTACAGAGAAAAATACTGACAAATTAAAAGCAATACACTGTGTATACACCTTTACTTTCAAACTTTCAAAAAATTTAAGCCAAAATAAATGCAATTGATGAAGCAATTTCAAACTCTATTCACTTACAAAATTCATGATTGTTAAGCATGCCCAGAATATTGCCTAAGAAAGTGAACACTAGTCTGAGCAAAGTGATATAGAAGCCAGGTACAAATCTTGACTTGACGTTCTAAAACACAAAATATTTCATGTGATTTTTTTCTAGCTGCTTTAAGCAGACTTAAGCAAAATTTATGATCAATTTCATCATCCCATGTGCCTTTTCAAACATTCATGTTCTTATATGTCCAATGAAACATTCTGTAGCACGACTTGATTATAAGGAACACTGGCAATGTTTGGGAAACAATCTCATATCTGAACGAACACAGAAGCCCTAGTATCCTTGGGAGTTTGATTTGTGATGGGTAGCTTTATCTCTTTAGTGTCCCATTTTGCATATAAACATAAAAGTTGCAGCATCGTTTCAATCATCCTACTCTTGTGAGATGTACATTTCTTGCACCTATGACATGGTGACATCAACAAGAAAACTAGTATCTAAAATCGTGCTTCACTCTATATATTAGCTAGATCTCCACCAGGAACATCCTTTCTAATATTAATGAACATGCTCACAGGTGGCTCTTATGGAAGAACAAGGCTAAATCCACGCAATGAAACATTTTCCCATTGTCTGCAGAGGTTGATGCATTTGCTAGATGACTATTTCAAAAGTAATATGTCTAATAAATGCAAAGAAGTTTAAGACTTATACACCAAAGTCACAATAGGTGCATTGAAGTGGAAGACTCTTCAAGAGGTATTCCTGATCTTGATGATCACAACATGTAATTAATGGACCTACACCATGGCAATACATATGAGTAGCTTAGTTATCATCTTTCTCTAGAAAAAGTTCTGCAGGTTTAAGCAATTAGACTAAGTGACTTCAAAGTCAGAGATTTTTTTTTTTTGACTCATGCATTGGCCTATAGACTATTGTCAGTTAATGTAACGACTGAAACAGCGTATCCATTCTTTCCAGTATTGCTGTTCTCAGGAGCTCTAACAAGCCTCCTTCATAAATAGTGGGAGTTGATGTCTTCAAGTACCAGAGTACGAATGATATGGCACCTGGTTAGAAATCTACATCATACAAGCCAGTATATTACACTAAATTAAGAGCATACGGTTTCTGATAAATGGAGAGACAAATGAATGGGCTAATTCAGACTGTGAGAGATTTGGTTACTGTATAAACATGGAACTTGTTTTACTTTGTTGATACATGTAAGTGGGTTGTTGTAAAGTTCTAGAAAGGAACCCATCATTCTCTGTGTCTACTTAAACATGTTTCCTGTTGCTGACAATTTGAGAGAGCATTTGGCACTTGGCTGTAACAAAAATCCAAATTAAATCATCAAGGCATAAATATAAAACAATAAAAACCATTCAAAGGAAAATAAATATGTACTTTTTTCCAAAAATTAAGACATGTTTTTACATGGTATTCTTAAGGAAGCTAACAATTAAATGTGTGATACTTAAAACAACTACAAACTTCACCTCTATATGCTTTAGACAGATAAATGAGAATACTAAAATGATAAGGTAGTAAATATGGCCAGATAGTTTGAGGTTTAAATTCCTCTATTTTGCTTGCTTTTAAAGAAACAAAATACCTGTTACAGATTTCTTCTGTGTATAAAAATATCACATCTTTTCTTCTGTGGTTGTTCCTAACAAAGCCATCAGATCCGTTTTGCTATTTCACTTGGTTTGCTTCTATGAATGTCTATGATCAATGGCTCTATGCTAGTTCTTCCATTTCGAGATGAAGAATTTTAATAGAATCCAATAACTAACATTTAGAAAAGCAATTACAAAACAAAATACACCCACCCACCCATCCATGAAATGATAGAGGAAAATAAAGAGATTTTCTTAATTCCCTTTTAAGGCATTTGAACTCATAGCTGAGTGTCTTATTGGACTTGGAACTTGTGTCAGTGTCTCCATCATTTCCATCTGTCTGCAGGGTGAGGCTACTTCTCCCCAGCCCTCACTTCCATCCAGTACTTTACACTGGAACTGGGCCATTCTTGGATTGTGTTTCTAGAGCTTTAATGCTGCTGATGATCTTCTTCTGTGGCCCAACCACAGTAACACCGACCTTTTTCATGTCACTGTAATAAATCAGAGAAAATAACTGATGAGAATCTTGGTTTTCTGAATAGAGTAGACACAGGAGACTTTTGTTTTTCAAAACTCATATAATTGTATATAACAGTATGGTATTTTTCACCTAATTTTCTGAGTTTCTAACATTAATATGTTGTTCATGGACTAGAATCTCTCCATATCTTATGTAAGAATACAGAAGGTATAATGAGTTAAATGTATCTGCTCAAAACTTTTGTCCATCTATAACCTCACAGTAAGAACCTATTTATAAATAGTCTCTTTGCAGATGTAATTGAAGCAAGGCTTAAAAATACTGTGCTGGATTATGGTGGTTGCTAAATCCAGAGCTTTTCCTTTTTTGGTATATCTTTTTTTTTTTTTTTTTTTTTAATTTTCATTCCTTGCTTCCTTCTTCTTCTTCTTTATTTTTTTTTTATTTTTTATTTTTTTTGTCTTTTTGAGACAGGGTCTCCTTGTAGCCCCAGCTGTCCTGGAACTCACTATGTGGACCAGACTGGCCTAGAACTCACAGAGATCCACCTGTCTCTGCCTCCTGAGTGCTGTGATTAAAGGCATGCAACACCACACTTGGCCAATTCAGCATCTTACCATATAGCCCTGACTGGCCTAGAACCTGTTGTGTAGTCCAGGCTGGTCTCAAACTCACAGAACTTTGCCCTTGCCTCCCCAGTGCCAGGATTATGGACATGCACCACAGGGGTCCAACAGTGTGAGGTTTTTGTTTGTTTTTTTTTTTTGTTGTTGTTGTTGTTCATCTTTTACATGATTCAGGATGCATACACAATGACACAGAAGGTGTGTGAAAATGAAGGTGCAGATGGAATTATTCCACAAGAACAAAACCTTGGGATTCACCAAAGGCTGAAAGGAAGCAAGTGTATTCTCTAGTAGAGACCCTAGAGCAAATATGATAGTGTCTTGATTTCAGACCACTGACACTAGAATAAGAGAGCATAGACTTTTATTGTTGAAGACTATAAATTTGTGGACAGTTATAATGACAGAGTAACCAAATTTTTTATTTATTAGTCCAACTAATGTAGATGTTCATGTATTTCTTTGTGAGATTTTTGCCCTTCCCTTGAATCAGGATCACCTCGGGGTCTACTTTGACGACCAGAAGTTAAAAGTCCAAAGTGATATTGTATGGTTTCTTCCTCTCTGGGACCACAGAGCTACCATATAAGACTATTATTACGTGACCATGACACTGGAGGGCCTGTGTGTGTATGTTGGTCTACTTCATACATGTAGCTGTGCTAAGCAAGCATCCAAGTGAAGGCACTGCCATCCCTCCAGACCAGAGTTGGTAATTAGTGTTTCAGTCAATAGCAGCTCTGGGAAACTAAGACCCTCCTTAGTTCTACTCACATTCATGATACACAGCATGCAGATGTAAATGAAATGGCCCTTGTTTTAGTCTTCACATTTTTGCATCCATAGATAAATGGACAAAGGCATATCTCTATTAAATTTAAACTCAGAAATTAGGCATTAAAATAAATACTGTAAAAACATAACTACTTTCATTTAAATGAAAAACAGACTTAGATAAATATGTGAACATTGTGAATTGTTTACTTCTGTTTTAATAATTCATCAATATGATCACCTTTTGGGGGTTTTTACTCAAATATTTCCTTCTACTGAGAGTTTCCTAAACTTCCCAAGGAATATTCTACATCCTCCCTGGACTTCCCATTTCCCTTTCTTGTTTCATGCCATCACTCTTTATTTAATTAGCAAGTAGAACGTCACTTTCCTTTCTGATTTATTTTCTTTGTTCTCTGTCTCTCAAGAAGGTAGACTCCATGTGAATACAAATCCCTAATTTTTTAAACACTGTAATGGACATCAATGCTCAATAATGGCTGTCATATACTAGAAGCTTTATATTTACTGAAAATGAAATACACAAAGCATGTTTTCCTGTTAGATTGACTGAAGAGTGAAGCACCTTTTGGCAAGGAGTGCCAAGCAGTTGAGACTGGTAACAAGGAAAATGCGCCCATGTGTGAACCACTCACAGACCACACATCTACAGAAAGAATTCCTTTCTGTAGGAAGAAAAACTGCAAGTTCAACTACACAGAACTGGACAAACAGACCTCTTTAAAAAGTAAGGTTCCAAAGCAAAAAAAAAAAAAATCTATAAGCAGCTAGTAGGAAATCATTTGAGAAATCATGCACGTGTTATTTTTGTATCGGCTGCATGAAATATTACAAGATTGTAACGCATTCCTGTTCTGGGCTGGGAATGAAGTTGTGGATGCCCTACAGACATTCTCCTGTTACCATTCAAACGTCAGTAACTAAGTTCAGCTAGCATCTTGCTTGAGTTCTTTCTGACCACATCTATCAGCTACTTCTTCTAAAGAAGGACTGATGGAAAGGAAGGTTAACTCTAGGCGTGGCACTTTTACAGTTATGTGGCCAATGAAAGTCACCACTCAGAGTAACATAGGCCTTCCACTGACCTTTGAATTTGAAACTGTGCTACTAGATCTTAATAATTTAGGTGTTGTGAATCTATCTTTAAATTGTAAGGCAAATATTTCCACGTTTATTCCCAAGCTATAGAAAAATCAAGTAATAAAAACAGAATCAGAAAGTGGTTGCAAATATAGAGATATGAATCACTCTGTATTTCTTCTAATGCTCTAACATGCTTTCTGTGACATAGTTATTTTTTTTTCTTTTCTGTCTCTTCATTTTCTCCTTTCTTACAAACTTAAGGAATAAAAGGATAAATATAGAGATCAGAAAATATTCCAACATCGTTAGACAATTTCCTGAGCTCTTTTAAGAAATTTAAGCACACAGAGCGTGGTTACTAGAGGGTATGATACTTGGACCTGATCTCCCTCTTCTAAACCAAACCTTTGTCCTGCAGTGGCTGGGAAAAATATGCTTCTGAGAGTTCACAGACCAACCGGGACATGCCTGATACTGTTTTACAGATGTATCTCTTAAATCTATTCCTAAAGATTTCTATTATCAAAGTGTTTCCTTTTCTATGCCAGGGAAGCAATATAAGTCAACAGAACTGTAATTGGGTTTAAGTTTAATATAAAGGATTGCAATTGATTCTGGAGAAGATAAAAAAATAATTCCTTTCAATTCTTCCTTAGCTAGGTGCTATGAATGCTCTACTTTGTTTAATTCTTTGTACTCTATAACTACTTTTCCATGTCCATGATCATTTGACCACCAGCTGCTGCCATCTCAGTAGAATGTCCTGTGTGCCAATGTCATTTTGATTATCCTGTTCAAAAGAGAAATGGTGAAAGTTCGAGGCTAGAAGCTAAACGCAGACTAGGACCAGAGGCCAATTTGTTATCTTGAATTTCATAGACAAAGGCATGAGCGACAGCACTTTGAAAATGGCATCCAAAATACCAGAAAACACCGCACAACAATTAATCTACCTGGTGTCACTACAAGCATTTAATTCCCTTCCTGTTTTCCCAGTCATGCCACCCTTCCCTTTCTATTCTCACTTTAACCTCTCCAAATATATCTTTGGTTAGGAAATCATATTTTTTTGGCTTCATGTAAAAAATTGGTGACTTGAGTAACTTTCATTTTAATGAAACCTCAAATTAACTGAAATAAATTAAAAATTATTTGAGAAGGAGACTCTCCTGACCTTTTCATGGGACTCTATTGACTGAACAGGAAAAAGGAAAAAGAAATTCAATATCCTACCCAGGTGTGTTTCCATTTTAGGAGAATTTCTAGGGTTATTTGGTCAAGTGGATCATTTCTGAATTGAGTCTGATGGCACAAAGAAAATAGAGATGGAAGCAATCAAGTTCAGACAATAAGATAGCAAAAGGCAAGATAAAATACATAAAGATCTTACAGCATTTGAGGAGAAAATGTGACTGATTAGGTTTATGTAAATCAGAAGTGAATTAAGCTTGTTTTGTGGTGTGTATGTGTGTGTGTGTGTGCACATATTTATTTGTGTGTGTTGTATACGTGCATATGGGGGAAATTCATGTATGAGTGTGCATGTGGCAGCCATAGGTTGACATTATCTTTATTAATCACTCCCTGTCTTGTTTGTTTTCTTTTCCCCAAAACCATGTCTCTCAGTAATTCCTTCAGCTGATCTGACTGGCCAACAACCCCAAGGATTGGCCAATCCCTCCCCAGCACCAGAGTTACACATACACCTTACTGGACCTGGCTGGGGATTGGATCTCAGGCCTGCACACTTGTGTACCATCTCTCTAGCCCAATATAGAGTTTATAAAAGCTCATTTCTATAATATAAATTACTGAGGCACCCAATAGAGTGTCTCAAGGCAAAAACACTAAGGCAATAGATACTGAATCTGCATCGCTCCTGAACTAGGAGAAAAGACAGTAAAAAGACATTGTGGGAAGAATAACATAAAGACATGTATAACTGTCTAAGTATGAAGAAAAAGCCTGAAGGAACAGAGCCAGTTAGGAATGTAAGCTTGTGTCCTGAATATATAGCATAGGTTGTTCAAGTGTAAGACTAGTAAAATACCCTACCAGCCAAAGAGATTATTTTACACCATTAACTTTGCATTGACAGATGCTTTCCACTCACTTGATTTGAACAAATCACTTTCTTAGCACATTCACAGCTTAAAATGATTGATTGTATTTAAATCATGAGCCAACAATTGATCTTATTAATAGTGTTCTGTTTCATGAACTTTATTATAGTGCTTCATTATCCCAAAGCACCCAGTGTTGATATTTTATTGAGAATAAACATTTGTAAAATTTTGGTTTTGAAAATCTGGCAATTGGGTGGAAATATCCAGGTTTGTGCTTATTCTTTGTCAGGCTTCTGAGCTCTGAAGCAAGTGTCTTGTATATAACAACCTTAACTATTTATAGTACTAAAATAAGAGTGTATAAAAATTTTGAATAAAATATGAATTTATCCTGTGACTGTGTCTGATCAAAATAAGCACCATAGAAACTCCATGTACTCTTTATTAGATAAGAAATACACTCAATAAACATCACCTTCCACTTTAAACAGTGATATCGGGGCATTCTAAACAGACTTGAGTGCGTTTACTTTCTGAGAACATGTTCTTCTCCTCAATAGCAATAACCCTTCCTGCAGGTCCTTTTGTGGTTTAAGATTTCTCTGATTAGAATGGAACCACACAACTTATTTGTGTATGTGTTAGTGTATTAGTTATGATATACATTCTGTTTTTTTTTGAGATCTATCTCCATAATCCATTTACAAATTTGTTGAAATGACTGACAGGATTATAATGAAAGTCTTTGTATGTCTCATTACATTTAAATATCCTATTAATAGTTGGAGACCATGGAACTTAAAGGGACTTGAAATCATTAGCAGTTGTATTCAACAGAACAAAGATCAGAGAAAGACTCTGACACAATACCCAAGCTATTTTTTCAAGACAGTCTCACTTCTTACGTTTGGAAAAAGTTCTCTATATCAAATGAATGCCCTCTCCTCTCACTTATTCTAACAGAAATGATAAGTAATGGCAAATATATTTCTTTGGAGATGCTGTTCTACAAGTGGAAGTGAGCTGTCTCTTGTTTCTCTACTAGGGACTTAGACTTATTCAGGCATGTGAAATCCAGGGTTGAAATCCAGTTTTTACTGTGTGAGTAGGAATACAGAAGTAGACACTGCAGAAAAAGAAAATAGGATGCTGTTACAGCTGCAAGTAAGGTACCCTGGACCTCATTCACAGGGAGACCAAGAAGATGAATGCCTGTTTAGTGCTTTCCAGTTTCCAATCACCATACCTTGGGGATAAGAAAAATAGTATGATTAGTCATTGAGATTACTCGATTTTTTTGTTTATTATTATTATTATTATTATTATTATTATTATTATTATTATTTTTAGCTTTTGGAGATGGGTTTCATGTAGTTCAGCTTCAAATCTCTACGTAACTGAAGGTGACCTTGACTTTCTGATCCTTCTGTCTCTACTTTTGAAGTACAGATATGCATCACCACACCCAATATATGTAGTGCTGGGGATCAAACCCAAGGTCACAAACATGCTAAGTAAGCACTCTACCAACCTAGCTAATAGCCAGCCCTCATTTGATTATCTCTAAAACCCTTTCCTTAAATATAAGCATCTCAAGTCATAAGACTCTTATCCATATGATCCCTAAAACCCATAGCAGAGTATCTTTGGTCATTATTGGCCTTTAATATATGAAACTAATATTCCAATTCATCTTATGTCATTTCCAAATAATGGTATGTTAAAGAAAACAAAAATGCTTCTTTCAAACTTGCTTATAACTTCATTATTCAGCATGTTCTTCACAGAATAAACACTTGATCATACAACATGATAGAAGATATTTAGTAGTTGTGAAAACTTTTGGATTTTGACACATTTTTCTCTCTAGAAGATCATCCACTTGGTGCTCAATTTCCACAAATGTGAAGCTTTTGTAACAATGACAGGAAGTCACATACACAGGAATATATGCTATGCCCACTTGTGTTTTCTATCAGGGACTTGGATTTGTAGACATGAGTACTGGAGTACTGATTTGCTTGAACCTCCTGTCATCTAGAAAGACACCTATCCTATAGACCTTTCATCAGGAAGGAAAACATCCCAACACACATCAATGTAGGTGTGATCCAAAACCATCTGGAGCCCTTCTCACCAGTTACTGTGGACACCATGTACTTCAGGAATGAAATACATTCATAATCCATCAATGCAAAATTGATATTATAAAAATTAACAATAATTAATTCTTTTCTACAGTGATTTCTTACTCTGTGGAGATCTTGGCGATGGTGTCACAGGAGCTGTATTCCACGCCCGTGAAGATTTCCTTGCAGTGTGCTGTCCGGACACCATTGAGCCAGTCGCCTGTCGTATGGAAGCTAGTGATGTCGACATTGCTTTGGTCCAGAAGAAGGTTTGATGGCCTATAAGAAAAGAAAGCATCCAAAGCAAGCCATCAGGAGTGAAGAGAATGGCCAAGTGTCAAAAATTGACACCAACACCAGCAAGGAGGTCTAGACTCCAATTAGTGTTTATGTGCAGACTTGATTTGCCATGGAGTTTCATCTGTTCAAGCTGGCAGTTTGGAAAGAGGCAGCAATCATCCTGCCTAAATGCTCCCTTCCCTGCTTTATAAAGCACTGAAACTTTACCAGTGAGAGACATAAATATAACCATAGATATCTTTTTATAGTTGAACTTGTTTAATCATTAGCAAAGTGGTGATAACTTGGGTACAGTCATAGCAGACATGATACATTAAATGCTCAGTTATCTGCCTTTGGAAGAGAATCAGGCTCAATATTAAATCTTTCCTATTGAATTTTTGTTTGTAGAGACTATCTAGTTTTTTTCTGGGTAAAGATCAGTTTGAACAATTTAAGCTCACTTACACCAGGACTTACACCAGCACAGATTTTGATAATACTATCAATGCCATTAATGTCATTAAAAGTAAAAAAATTAGTCAGGCATAGTGGCTCAGGCCTTTAATTCCAGACAACAGGCAAATTTCTGTGAGATCAAGGTCAGCCTGGTTTATTAGAGATTTACAGGACAACTGGTATGACAGGGAAACCCTCCCTCAAAAATCAAAACAAACAAACAAAAGATAAAATTACAGAAGCAATGGGAAAAAAATGACAGGTGAACAGTAATATAAGAAATTCTTCCTAACTGGGCAATGCCAAATGAATATCACACACACACACACACACACACACACACACACACACACACACTCACACTCACACCAGAGACTTGGATTTGTAGATGTCAGTACTGATCTACTTGAACATCCTGTCCCGTAGAAAGATACCTATTCTATAGGCCTTTAGTTAGAAAGGAAAACATCCCAACATACATCATTGTAGGTGTGATCCAAAAAGATCCAGAGACATCTCACAAGTTCCACTTATTGTGTACTTCATATGTGAAACAGGTATTCGTAATTCATCAATGCAAAACCAATATTATGAAAATTAACAATCATTCATATAACACAATATATAACAATATATGTGTGTATGTATGCATGTGTATCAAATTGAAATAAATATGAATAGATTTAATTGAGATTGTTACTTATATTGACAATGAAGTCAACGTCAAGTAGAGAACCTTTGATTGTTACAGTCTTGTGTGCATATCTAAGAAGATGTGCAAGATCTGTGGAATCAAAAGTACAGAAATGAAATGAAGGAAATAAAGGACATTGTTTGTATCCCCAAAGATTCCAAAGACGCATCCTATGGGAAAACTGCTTTTGGGGTAAGTGTTTTGATGTCTTTTGTTTTTCAGCTCTCATGAACCTCTTTCTTTTTAAAAATATTTTATTTATTATTTATATTTAATGTGTATGAGTGTATTGCCTGCATGTATGTGAGTGCATCAGTGTCGTGCAAAGCCGTGGAGGTCAGAAAAGGGCTTCGGATTCCCCTGGAACTGGAGTTAAGGATGGTTCGTGACCACCATGTAGGTGCTGGGAATCGAACCTGGGTTCTCTGCAAGAGCAGTCAGTACTCTTAACTGCTGAGCCATCTCTCCAGCCCCAGTGACCTCTTTCTTTAACTGTCCTTTGACTCCTAAGCTGTGACAACTCACTAGATAGATAATTTATTGACATCTCTTTTTTCTTTTCTCATAAGGAAGCTTAAGCACTAAGTGGTTATGAAGGCCCTTGTTTATGGATTATATTGAAAAAATTATGAGCACTTATAATGTGCCAGGCCCTATGCTAGAAACATTAGATAAACATTTAGAGCCTTATCCTTTGTAACATCAGTTAGGCATATCTGATATGCTTTATATAATAGATACTGAATTCAAAACTAAAAGAAATTTAGTTATAGTCTGGATACCCTCGGGCAAAAGAAGCAGAGAAGTTACTTGGAAACACCTATAGCAGAGCTGACTGCACTCTCCCATTTGGGTGAAAAGTTGCTTAAATAGCACTTTCTTTGCTTTCTCACAATCTGTTTGTGATCTTAGGATGTGACCTCTGAGTTGTACATGCTGTATAGTGGGTCAGGGGAGGGTCACTGGAACCATGAAGCAGGGTCTAAACTTGAATATAACACATGCTATCCACATGTCCTGGGGGGCTTTCTTGTTTGTTTTTATCTTCTGTAAAATGGGACTGAAGGAAGTGATTGGTCTCATGGAGTTGGAGGTTGAATTGTGAGTTATACCATAACCTCACAATAGGAACTGTTAGCTGTTCATTCTTATGACATAGGTGCATGCTTGATGAAGACCATTTACATTTTTAAAATTTCAAAAAAATAACAGCATAATACATGTGAAGATTTACAGAATGCTTGGGCCACAATGATCTTGTTAATTACCATGTTGAGAAGCTCAAGTTTAGTCATGTGTTATATCGTGTACACAATTGTGCAACAACCCTGTAAGTGGGCAACCCTCATTAGAATAGTCAACAACTTTTACAAGCTCATAATGAATCCACAGGCAAAGCTTGTAAATGGATATGCTAGTTTGCCTTCTGTCATTTCTGTTTTCATTATTGTAACAGCATATTTTTTTTACATTAAACCTTTAATCCCAGCACTCGGGAGGTAGAGGCAGGAAGATCTCTATGAGTTCAAGGCCAGCCTGGTCTACATAGTGAGTTCTAGGCCAGATGAGGCCATAGGGAGACCCTGTCTCAAAAAGAAAAAAAAAAACTGTATCACAATCTAATTTTTAGATTATAATTGTGAATGTGCATTCTGAGTTTTTTAACCTCATCACAATTATTATTCAGAATCTTCTATATTTTCCGATGTGGCCATCACATCCAATCTTTATTTATCTCAAGACAATTTAGAATCATTATTTTAAATGTCTCCAAAGAACAGAGGCATATCTCAGCAGAAGAGCATCTGCTTAGCTATCAATGTTTAATGTCTAGCATGAAATATGTCATTATTTTCGGTCTTAAATTTATAATTTTATATTATTTATTTTTTTTGGTATTTTTGACACAAGGTTTCCCTGTAGCCCCAGAATTCACTCACTATGCAGATCAGGCTTGTCTTGATCTCTCAGAGATCTGTCTTGATCGCTCAGAGATCTGCCTGCCTCTGCTTTCCAAGTGCTGGCATTAAAGGCATGTGCTATACACCTAGCTCTAATTTTATATTCTTTAAAATATTTGTCTAAATTAAATGCATCATTTAAAGGGCTTAAAATCAACATTTAGAAATATCAAAATTCTACATTTTGAGATCAGACCAAAAAATGAAGAATTAGCACATTTTTATCCTTTTAAAAAATGGATTTAGTTATTTTTAATTATGATAATCTTATTAAATTATTGCAAGTGGAACAATCTGGATGCAAAGAAAATGTACACTGTGTCCTCTATGAAAGCAATTACTAATACCACATAGAATACATGGTGAAAAACTCCTTTGTCAATTAGAAAATCTCTCTGGGAAGCAAATTCATAAATGTGTCAACTCTGTGTACATCTCAAAGTGATTTTAATTGAGAAGTTTCTGTTACTACTGTTGGTATTTCCCTCAACACATTTCCTAATATACAAAAGCTGCTAAGTGTGAAGTTAAGAGTCTTTGTGACTATTTTATTATTTATTATTTATGTATTTATGTATTTATTGCGTGTGTGTGTATGTGCGTATGTGTGATGTGTGTATGACTTGCCAAGGTGCACTTGTGGAACTCAGAAGACAACTTTGTGGAATAGGTTCTCTCTGTTCACCCTTTGTGTGGGTTCAGGAATCAAATCCAGTCAGCAGGTTTGGCATCAGGTGCTTTTACCCACTAAGCCATCACAGTGGTCCAGCGTTAAGATTCTTAAGCCAGGAGAATTTTAGATTCCTCCCTAGACTTATGTGTTATTGTTCAGAGTACCTGAGAAGACTCTAAATTGGCATACAATTTTCTATATATTTATAGGGATGCATTTAAAATCATTTGATTAAGACTATTAACTTTAATATTAAGTTTATGAATAAGATGGCAGAAATACACTTCTACTCCATGCTTATTACTATCACTCATGAAAAGCATAGTTTAGTAACTAGTTCTCTCCCCATCATAATCATTTGTAAAGTAGAGGATAGGATGGCTGACAGTTAAAGGGTTTTCCAACCTTCTTTCTTTTGTTTTAACAATATTTTATTTGTTATTATTATATGTGTGTGTGCATGTATGAAGTGTATCTCTAGACACATGCCACAGCACAAATACGGAGGTTAGAGGACAACTTCTATGGAGTTGATTCTCTGCTTTCACTTTTGTGTGGATTCCACGAATAGACCACTAGTTGCTGGGTTTTCCCACAAGTGCCTTTACCCCTAAAGCATCTGACCTGCCCCAGCCTTCTTTCTTTTAAATAATTATGATTACTTCAATCTTTCTACATTGTGTTCAACTTAAGGTAAAATTTTAGTTATAATGTATTATTGTAGTATGGTTCCATAATTACAGTCAATAATTTGTATTTATGTGATATGCTAATTTTTAAATAACTCCGAGGTTACCTAAAATAAAAGAACACAACTGAAATTTTAGCTTTATTTTATAAGATATGCATTTTCTTTCCTTTTGTGAAATTTAGAAAATAAAATATAAGATTTTGTAAAATATTCTCTCCTGAAATATTTATACACTTTTATAATTCTTTAAATTATGTTCCTATAAAAATGAAGTTCATTTTTATAAATGAATTTTCTATTGTCATTTTTTAAAAAATAAACACATAAGGAATTACAAATATAGTTGTCCAGTCCATGTTTGAAATTTTACACAATATTCTTGAGTTGTTAAAGTGTGGCCCTTGTTGCTAGCCACCATTAGCTACAAGTCATCTTATCAGTAAATAAAATGGATAAATATAGCATTGAATCAAGTGTGAGAAAGTTGTATATGAAAAATGAAGACAGGCCTAGATATAAGAC